CCAAATCCTTACTTGCACCTTGAAGCTCCAAAGTTAGTGTAGAGTCTTGAAGCGCCAGGCATAGACCACGATAATCCTGGACCTCTGCGTTCACATGCAGTCAGTGTGTAGAATAAAGTGGTTGATTCCAGTTGCAACAGGCCAATAAAAACACATGCATCAAATATCATCTGCTGTTACAGCCTCTGTCAATATGTATGTGTAGACATAAGCTATAAAGTTGCATCAAGAAGTGTTGTACACCGCCTCGTTGTGGCTGGACTCCAGTGTCATGTTCCTGTCTTCAGGTTTCCTCTCGTAGCTGTGAGCAGCGGTGTCGGCCTTTTTGGTGACAGTATTTGCTCACAAGTCACAGACTGGTACAGCTGCACTGAATTTGCTAGCATAGCAAAACTGGAGCCATCAGGATGAGTAGGAGCTTGTTTACATACTTGTTTGTTTAGCTGAAGCATTGATTGGGTCAAATCTGCATCTCTGTATTTGTCAGTCGGTGTGAGCTGGAGCTGAGATTCTGGCTTGAAGTCAGAAGCCATCAGTCGTCTCCTCGGTGCTCCCGACACGTTGTTTTAATCTGGTGTTCCTTTTGTGTGACATTCACATTTAGCTTGGAGCCAAATACCTTTTCCAGAAGTTAGAAATGGTATTAGCAGCCTTGTTCGGTGTTTTTTCAGCCTTGTAGCTTTTTAAAATTCACATTAGGTTAGCACAGCTCGGCAGCTCCAGGCACTAATGTAATCACCTGTAATCACAAAACAAACAGCCTCAGCTGAAACAGAGAGTTGCTGACTTGGAGACAAGCCGGTAAGGTTAGTCTGATGGAAGTGTCCATCAGCAAGGAGTGCTGATGGTGGCAAGCTGCACAGACACACAAACATGTGCACACAGAACAGTTTTGTCTACATTTACTTTCTGTTCAAATAAAGACTCCTGCAGCTGTTGTAAATGACATGCATCCAATGCACTCGTTAACTTTAGCCCAAACCAAGGTGACGAAAGAGCAGTCGGCTTAAAAGACCGTCTAGAGGAAGTGCGTTGGTTGGCCTGCTGTTTGCTCTGTTTTTACCTGTAAGTCCATGGACAGAAGCGCAGACATCTAGGACCACCCTTAGTTGTAGTATGTATGTGTGCTAATGTAGGGTGGCTGTAGCTCAGGTGGCAGAGCAGGTCAGCCACTAATCAGAAGGTCGGTGGTTCGATCCCAGGCTGCCTCCTGGCTGCATGCCAACTATCCTTGGGTAAGATACTAACCATGTTTGCCTGCTGGTGGTGGTCAGAGGGCCCGGTGGCGCCAGTGTCCGGCAGCCTCGCCTCTGTCAGTGCGCCCCAGGGTGGCTGTGGCTACAATGTAGCTGCCATCACCAGTGTGTGAATGTGTGAATGACTGAATGTAGTGTGAAGCGCTTTGGGGTCCTTAGGGACTAGAAAAGCGCTGGCCATTTACCATTTAATGAGCGCGTTCAGAGACAAATTTAGCCGGCGTGGACGTATCAGGAGGCAGGATGGAGATGACGACATGTTGGGCCACAGCTTTAACAGTGTTGTTGACGCCATCAGTAGAACGTGTCTGTTTGGCTGGGACTGTAAGTACATCTGTGTCTTTGACACACTCAGAGGCAGTTTTCACTCACAGATAGGAGTTTAGGACTTTATAACTATAAACGGTATTACAGCAGCACTATTTTATCTTCTGTTCACACAGTTGCATACGTGTGGGATTAATCAGTCTGCGGGTGCATGCATGTAATGCACGGTTACAGTGGATTACCTGCTGGCACTCAGTTCAGAGCAGTATTATTCAGATGACCTTGAATTTCTTGGTCTCTCTGACATAAGATCTGCATGGCTGGATAAAAGCTGTTGTGGAATTCCTCCATAGATTTCAGCTCTGGCTTCTCTCCCATCTTGTTCATATAACCTTTGTTTGAAAACGCCAAATCTGATATATCTTTGCTGCGGCGAGGGAATGACGAGTATTTCAAACAATGGCCGTGTATTTGTTACTTATTTCCTCCGAAGTTTCAGAGGCTTTCTTCCTGCCCCTGCAGTGTTTGGACACAGACCAGATGGAGCTTGTTGTTCCACCCAGCTGTAAATCTGGCCCCGGGCCGTGTTGGTTTTAGTCCTGTGAAGATGTGGGACCCGGGCCTGTGACGTTTGCAGAGCCGTGGGGTTCAGGGCCGTTACATGTGTGCGGTGTTTTCTGTCAGCTTGTTTGGGTGAAACGCCGAGCAGCAGAGGCCCATAAACTGAGCCGACATGATAGGATGTCTGCTAAAACAAACCTTCTGTGTTTCCAGCATGCTCCCACTGACTGCAGTTTTCCCAGCACTGCTGACATTCCAACACTGTGCAACTTGTGTTTTTTACTGAAGTTTTATCATCAAAGCGTGAGAAATGTAGTAGTAATGATAATAATACTAATCCAGGGTCAACCTCTGTTGACATGCTGGCTCCATGTAAACCTGTGGAGGGAAGCAGCTTCATGCAAAGTGCCAGGCTCGTAGTGCGTCTACCAGACAGGCGCTGTAAGAATAAAAACGCCTGCTGGTCATCCGTATGACTCAACGGGCTCATTGACTACAAACCCTGCTGCATGACTACATGGCTGGAGCTCTGTGAGTCTGGGTTATATTTTTCTGTATCAACAGTTGAGATGTTTGTGTGTGTTG